GCATTCCTTCAGGGCCAGGTAGTTATCCTTATTGTCTATATTGACGATATTGTTCTCACAGGTGGCAATCTATCAACATTGGAGTCTCCGAAAGACATGCTTGCTACTTCCTTTGAAATGAAGAACCTAGGATCTCTCAGATACTTTTTAGGCATGGAAGTTGTCCAATCATCTCAGGGTATTTGCTTGTTTAAACGAAAATATGTGAATGACCTTTTGACAAATAATAATCTTCTCCTGTGAAAACCAGTGGCTGTCCCGATGGATCCCAATAAAAAACTACTTGATGTTCCAAATGCAATTCCTATAAACAAAACTGACTATCAACGTCTTATAGAGAAACTCATCTACCTTGCCCATACACGCCCCGACATACGCTACGTAGTTGGGATAATGATCAGTTTATGCATGATCCCTATGTGCACTACCTCCAAGCTGTCCACTGGATTCTCCACTATTTAAAAAAAACACCAGGCTCAGGTTTATTTTTTTTTCCCGCCAGTCCTCTCGTTCTATTGCAATTTACACAGACGCAGATTGGGTTGGGTTCGTCCATGATCGGGGATCTGCCTCGGGGTACTGTTCATTCGTGTGGGAAAACCTGGTCATGTGGAAAAATAAGAAACAATTTTGATCCATGTCCCTGGTAATTTGCAAAGTTATCTAGTTACACATCATGCTCCACGAACTACATATGATAGTCTTTGCTCCCCTACAGTTGTTATGTGATAACAAAACTATCATAAGCATTGTTCATAACCCTTTCCAGCATGATCATACCAAACATGTTAAGATTAACCATCACTTCATTAAGGAAAAGCTCATATTCAGAAAAATTTGTGTTTCGTTTATGTCATCAAGTAGCTAGCTGAGAGATATTCTCACAAAAGAACTTTCTCGGTCATTGTTCGATGAGTTCAAATCTAAGTTGAACAAAACTGACATCTATGCTTTAACTTATGGGGAGTATTAGACAATTAAAATACATATTAATACAGAATTCTATTTTAATTACTATTATTTGCTTTTATTTTCTTTCCTTTATTCCTTTATTCCTTTATTCTGATTTTATTTGTTTCCTTACAAGTATATCCTGTAATGGGTATTTCTACTCCCCTTTGTATCAATAAGAAATATCTTGGATTCTATTCTGACAAATGATAATAATAAAATAATTAAAATAGTCCACAAATTGATGAGTAGAAAAAAAAATTACAAAATGATTACAATAATCCATGGAATGATGAGATTACAATAATAATCCCACGAATTACTAAGTTGGCATAAAGTAAATAAGAAAGAGGACTACCGGGCTAGATGGAACATTTGTACCTGTGAAATTGATGGAGATTAACTTATTTATACTCCGCTAAAGCAAATTAAAGGATAATATATATTCCAAGCTTGCATGTCAGTTATCAAAATACTATTTCTATTAATTCTTTAGTGATAATGAATGCAAGTTGTCCATCAATGGCGCACACATAGTACAAGTTAGATTACTGTCTAGCTTCTTTATAAAATGCATGCTACTTCTAAATAAATTGTTTGTTCATGTCGCTTGAAATTATGCACAATATTAATAACTAATTTATAATTATAATAAAACCTCATAGGATATTTTTAACCAACATTTAAATGCTTCAGGGTAATTTTCAACATAATAGTTTGCAATTGCTTTGTGTCATGAATCAAAATTCAACTCTTTGCTAACTAATGAGAGCGGATATCCGAGATAAGGTAAGAAAGACAAGAAATAATGTAACAATCTCATTTGCAATGCTTCACGAATTATGTTGCAAGAAAGACAGGAGCGATGTCCAAACCTACTTGATTGACATAAAATCCTTAAATCATCAAAGCCAATTTTTCCAAAGCTAGGAAGAGCTAATTCTAATTTTAAAGTGCATACTAGTCTGAAGCATAAAAAGTAAGCAACAGTATTGGGATAAATATAATGAGTGTTGGTGTTGTATTTTTTGAAGTAATCATGTAAATGATATCGATATCGATGAGATTAAGATGTGTTGTCTAGCATTTAAGTTACCAAAATAGATTTTATTTATAGTGCAAGATATTTCACTTCTAAGTTTGGAATACATAGTTAACATGCATCCAATTCTATGTTTTAGCACACAATCAATCTTAAGCTTTGACCATCCAATGATTTAGAAATACACTGTTATTGCAATTGATTTTGTTACTATTATTTCCATTGAGTTCAACTGATTTTTTTTCAAAATATGGCTTTATATTTTTTTATCACAGCAAACAATTGTAGCATAGATTATGCATTATGATGTCTATAAAATGTGTTGCACTATTGTATTGTGTTTAGTACATGTTTTGTATCATTTCTATATTTTTATTTGTAATGAAAGAAGAATTTGAAAGAAATTGGGGGAATTATGGACTAGCGCCTAGACGAAGTGCCCCAGCACCCAAAGTCTCTTCCATCCAAGAAATACATAGAGCAGGACATTGCAATGCCAGAGTCCAAGCGCCACAGCACCAAGCACCAGTGCCGCCGCAAAGACCTAGAGTGACGAATCGGAGCCATAAAACGTGGAACCCAAACCCAGCACCGCCGCACCCCCAGTGTTACTCGGCTAGTGCCCCGATGCTACTTAACGACTTATGGTGGTTTATTGCAGTTTGTTGACAGTTCAGACGAGTTAAGTGCTTAAGATGCTCCGATTTGAGGCATGGAAACGGGTTCAGACAAAGAACAAAAAGAAGTTCTTTGTGGAAAGAAAAGTGAGTGTATGTGCTTAGGGTGTGTGTGAGATTGTGAGAATCATCTGTGTAAGTGGTAGAAGTGAATCAAGAAGAAAGTGCATTGTACAAGGGAGGATCATCTTGGAGCGAAAAGAAGATTCAACCGAATGTAATCTTTTCTTTCTCTTTATAAACTTTTGCTTTTACTTTCAATAAAATCCATTGTGTTTTTTATACAAATGTTTAGGAATTAGTTTTCTTACTTCCTTGGTATTATGAAATTTTTCTTTATTCCATGGGAATTTTCTGAAATGATTGTTCAATATGTTGATGTATTGACCTTTAGGACTTCATTTACTTTTTTGCAAGCTACTAGAAAAGTTAAAATTGATTGTTATCTAAAACTATTGACTTATACCAGAAGAACAATTAGGTTAACATAGTTATTTAGTGGAATAGAAATAATGTCATTAGGAGATTATAATTACATAGGGAATGTAGAATCTGGAGAGCCTTTGCAAGATTAAGGATTTAACAATAATATGTTACTCCAACGCTTCATATATCTCGGAATAGAATGAGTAATTTTCCAGGGTTACCAATATCTTTAGGAACAAATTTTGGTGGATAAACATTAATTTTTGGAAGACTTTCTCGCATTAGCAAAAACCAAAAAAATGCAAGTTTTAACTTTAGTAAATTAGAAATTTTTATAAAAATCATTTGAAAACAAGCAACACTTTGAACTAAATTAAGACTTAGTAAACTAGTAGTTGAAATATTTGAAGATTAACTCATTCCTCGTGGGATCGATACTTGGTCTCAAATCTATTATACTGCTTGATCAACAAGTATGCTTGCGTGATAAACATGTGTGTCATCACACTGCGGAACATATTTGTTTTCTCGTGCCAAGAACCACCACCAAACATCAATTTCTCAATTCAATTAGCTATATAACTATAGATGTATTCAATGATGTGGAATGTAGCTAACTTGTTCCCCCAATCCTCAAGTTTTACACTACAATTGAGGCCAGGAATTATTATAAACTTGCAGAAGCTGAATTGAGAATTTGAGTGCATTGAAGTGAAAGTAACAGTATTGGACCAACTATTGGGGGGTTCCAATAAGTAACAAATTTTGGGTCATTTAGGTTATAAATATGACCATTGAGGCATGCAAATCTATCAATATGGTTGAATAACATTTTAGCTAACTCTCAACTCTGAGTGTGAATTCTTTGAGCATTTTATAAGTTTAATAAACTTTTGGGGATGATTTTTCTTGAACCCACACGAAACATAAATCTTCCAATTGGCGATACTTATCATTGTTCTTTCTTCCAAAATATTCCATAATTAATTTCTGTGCATGATTGTGATTTTGTCAAATTTATATATTCCGATTTTTCTTATTATGACGTGAATCTTAATAACTCCAGAAATTTTGTCATTCTCAGATTTTTTATGGTATTTAAGATTTAGCAACATAAGAGATTGATCTTTGCTAAAATAAAACTTTGAAAACCACAAATAGTGACATTTGTGCTTTTTTGTGCTTCTTTATCCTAGGTATGGATTATTAATGAACTTAGGACACCAATCCGTCCTACATCAGAAGGAAATGCGACTACATTTTAGATCAAGAGAAAAAATAATACATTTGGCTTCAGAAAGCAAGTGTAAAATGAAACTCACAGTAAATTGAGCCTGAACGCCTCGGAGATTTACTTGTTCCCATGATTCTGGAAACTGAAGATGAAATGATTTTGTTTCTCCTTGCTTAATTCCTACTATTGAATTAAGAAACCCAGGAAGGAGGTTGTCAGCCTCATCTGTGTCCAAATGAAACCCTGGAAAACATACCTTTTAAGTGCCATCCCAAAGAATAGTAAAGATAATCTCATAGAAGAATAATAAAAACATGCACATGATAGCTTTCCTAATAAAAATTAATCTGTGTTAAAGGAATCCTTACAACTACAAAAAAGGACTTGAAATTTTGCCCAGAAAAGATCTGACCATCCAATTGAAAACTTAATCAAATTGAAATATTCAATTTTGAATTTTACATGTTAAAATAAAATTCCAAATATTTATCTAACAAGAATCTGGTCTTGATGACAGATTCATGAGAGGTGATTCCTCATTTCTTCTAAATGCACTTTGCGTTGTGTCAATTATGGCTTAAAATCCTCCTCAAACTCTTTGTTAGCAGTCTCTTCCCATGCTTCTCTGCTATTCTCACAACCAGCACCATCCACATCCCCTGCACCTGTTTCATCAGCTTTGTTTTACCCACTCTATCTACATAGAGAAGAATAGTGATAGCAGAAGCTCCATTGATTACAATGACTAGCCTTATCCTCCTGCCAACAATGCCACAAGATCAAATCTGAATAAGGACGTTGTCCAGTTTGCTTTGATGAAACTGAACAGATGATATATATGGATGTCAAGTCAAAGATTGTTTTACTTTTATGTGAAGGAAGACTTCAAAAAATTTGTAGCTCGGAATAAAGTACTAAAAGCTTACAAGTACATATATCAAAAAATCTACAAATTCGGCGTGAACATGCCTCTAGTAGTAGATAAATTAGCAAGAAAATCCTTGAGGAATTATCGCAAAGGAATTTTCATTATATTGATTGACAACTTAACTTAATTTCATTGCACATATTATTTTTTACTTTTCCCATCTATGGGTGATTGCAAAGCATTTAAAGTTTTGAAATGAATTATTTTGTAGATCATATATTACGGCCCTTAAACGGATTGGGTTGCTTGTTATTTCACTTCATTTAAGCTTGACTGTTTTAATTCTATACTCAACAAAAATATATACTTTCTCGGGAGTGATAAACAATGTATAGAATTAATGCGAAAAATATAAACAATGATTCAAGAAAAAGAACATATTCTCATATGTGTACTTTAGTGTTTTCAATCTCTTCAATTTTTCTCGTATGGATTGTATGGATCTTCAAAATTTTAAAATTCCACTTAATTTGTTCAATCACTGTCTTATTCTAAATGTTCTTATTTGGAATTACGAACAACAAGTTCCTTACAATAACATTTGTTTTTCACAGAATATCTAGGGAATATTCAAGGCACAAAATACGAGCCTACTATGAATTTATTTAGGGTTTACTTGGTTGCCTGAAGTTAGAAAACAAGCTTTGGGATTGGATACAGTTGCATGCTAATATTGATATACAACTACACAAATGATCCAACTACACAAATTTCCTTTCGACAAAAAAGAGGAATTCAATTCCACCTCAAATGGGGGAAAAAAAAACATTTGCTTTCAAAAATAATTTTTCCATCTACAAGCATCCACATAAGCCGTAGCACACTTTTGCATTTGTTTCAACTATTTATAATTCTATAAACATTATCAAACTTTACTCATGCACATTATGGATGCATCTTTTTGCAGTTTCCCTGAACAAATAAATCAAACAATTCTGAAATAAAAGATTCATAAATTTATATAGAATAAACATTCAAACCGTGAAATTTCAATCACTATGAAAGAAAAAATTATTATTTACTCGTTAAACTCCTTTAGAAATCATAATTTTCTTATTTAGTTAAACAACAAAATACTGCATAGGTATCTGAGTTTTATCAAGAAATGTTTTTTTACTCCATAATGTGTTTAAGTTAGAGCATAAGATTTTTACTGCATACGTATCTGAGCTTTATAAAATAAATAATCTCCTCGTTAGAGCATAAGATTTTATGTATGAATGCTTATGCGTTCTTTTTTTCATTCGAACTTTATGCGTTTGAACGTTAGATGTGAAGTTTCAGTTTTAAGTTTTTCGTTCTTTTAGAATGAATTGACTTGTTATTAAGTTCTCTCTAGTCTTTAGTGCATTTTCTCATTTCTGCTAGTGCTAAAGCTTACTGTGTTAGAGTCTTTGAGAATAAATTGATCAAAAGGATATTTTTCAAAATGAATCAAACAACATGATGACAATAGTAGGGCCATTTAGACTAGTTCAAATGATCTAAATCAATTATAAAATTGATGTAGAGCATTCTATATCAAGGATGGGAGGGTTGTACATATTGCTAATCAACAAAGTGTCATTAAAGTATTCACAACATTGATAAGCATTACAATCAATTTTCCACCACACTTATATTTTATGCATAATTTATAAACATTGAACAACTATTTTAATTTTACTTTCTATAAACAAGTCTCATTATGTAAAAAACATTTTATATTTCTGTAAGTCGATGTCTCTCAAGTATCAACTTATTTGTGGGCTCTTGTACTAATATATCAAATGGGAATAATCACTGTAGAAACACACCTGTCGCATTTTTGAAATTTTCAAACAACCCATTCCCTTATATACCTAAAAAAATAGCTTAAAAGAAAGGACTTCCATGTTGCAACAATCAGAAGGATCATAATACCGCTCACCCAAAAGTGCAATTTGGGCGCAATTTAGACAATTGACCAATGAGCCTCGCCATTGTTGACTGTTAAAAAAAAAAAAATTAAATTAAAACCCATAACAAGTCCCTCTCTTGGTTTCAAAAAATTGTTCATGTGCTTCTCCGTTGCAAACTCATAAAGGAATCCTTCTCTCCACTAGTTCAAACTCCCCATTTCCCATCTCCACTACACGACCCGGGACCGAAAGTCTCGTCATTTTTCCCTATTCGGGCAATACAGTCACGACTAGAGCAAGAGAAAAAAACAACGATGAAATCGCAATATGCAAAGACATCCTTAGAAACTAAAACAGATAGACATGATTCCCTGCCTTTCCTCCTGTCCGAAACTCTAGCAGACAGCCGCATGCTAGCTTGAAGGCAACAAAAGGAATGGTAGTGTTCGGAAGAACAATTTTGAAAGTCCAATCTTTCTCACCCTCTGCTTCGTTCCTACGAGAAACAACGCAAAGGGTTTAGTATATCCAAAAGTTTGGCAGAAATGGAGGTATTATGTTCTATTATATTATGGTTTGAACGCTTAATTTTTGCTTCCAGTTCCAACAGCGGCACATCACTCTACATCTCAGAGAGGTTTGCGAGTTAAAATACCTAATCCTTGCTTTGCTGTCGGTTGGCTGGATAATAAAGCCACTTATCAAGCTGGTGATCCGGCAAATATTAAGATTAAGCTTTTGAAAATTTCTTTAAATGGTAACCTCAGCACATTAAACATGCAATTTTCAGTTTCTGTGGTGGGAAGAAAGGAAATAGCTCATATATATCCGCTATCTTTCCTTACGTTGATGGAGATCCTATCTTTGGAATATTTCTCTTACACCCATCGAAGTTGGGAACTTTTCTGTGGTTGTTGAAAACTTTTCTGGTGTCGCTGATTCATTGCTTCATTTCAGTCTGCTTGTCTGCCTTCTTGGATTGATTTTTTTTTTATGGGTCCTGTTTCCGGGACAAATACTTATTTGTTGATATAGGTTAAAGATCCATTTGGAAATAATTTCTTATTAATGGATTTGCCAATAAAAGATTTACATTGTCAGCATTTTATCTGAACAGATCTGCAGTGGAGATTTTCAATTTTGTTTCTATTACTTGGAACAACCTTTTGATCATTGTGTAAGTGCTAGGGCGTCCCCGGGAAGCGACGCGCTGTATAGCCTGAATACAATGAAAAGTGTGCAAGGGCCGCTACACCAGCGCCCGTGTGCAGTGTTAAATAAGCAAAGGTTCCCACATGACGGGTGAATGCTGGTAAAGAAGTTAGTTCATGAAACTAGTGAAACTAATATTAGAATAGGATCTTGGAATATTGGTACTCTAAATGGTAAATTAATGGAATTAGTTGATATTATGATTCAAAGAAAAATTAATAGCTTATGTATTCAAGAATCTAAGTGGGTTGGAGAAAATGCTAAGGAGATTGATAATTTAGGTTTTAAACTTTGGTATTCTGGTAAAAATCACACTAGATTTGATGTAGGTATAATTATAGATAAGAGTTTGAAAGATAATGTTGTAAAAATTAATAGAGTTGGTGATAGAATTATAGCCCTTAAGATTATCAT